TATAGACACAATTAAAGAATAATAGGTTGCGGTCACCGGTGTCCTCACGGTGTTTGACAATTTAAATGTGCTTGTATGTAGACAAGAAACGAAATAAATACTTTGACTTTTATTTAACGAAATTTTATATTGAAAAACTTCGTTATTACGTTAGGCTTCGTAAATTCACTGCACCTACCAATATCAAAACCACATACAATTTGTTCAATAGTTAGTCACGAGCTAAGAATGAGCTTGATGACATCTATCTACTTAATTAAATCTACTTTTAAGCACGCTTATCTTACTAGCCATGGCCGATCAACAAGCTACTAGAATTAAAAAAGAAATTCCGGCATTGTGCTCGGCGCCGGAGGATGAAACAAGACCTTCACGTGAAGGAAATGTTCAGAATAAATATAAGGTACGGAATAGAAATAGACATCAAGGACGATAGACCGCTGTGTGACGCTTGTCCTGTTTCCAATGGCATGTTGTAGGATATCTAACCTTGTGCTAGTTTGAATAAGTGTTGTTTTAGAGTGACCTGATGTTCTTGTTTTATAGTGCATTTTAGTAGTTGCTTTTTAGTAATAAATATCCGGCTATTTCAGATGAGATAGCTCACTCAAATTATGCTATGAGTATTGTCCTAAATCCCAGTTATCCCAGTAAAAGAGCAGTTCCACTAAAACTAAATTTTGGCACTAAATCTAGCCCATAATTAGCGGAGTTCTCATACAACATAAAATGTAGTTACACTAACAAGCCAATTTGAGAACTAGATTAATTAAACCTAACTTGTATTATTCTATGACCGAAAAACATGGAATATTAGGAAAGCTATCTGTTGACTTTAATTATTTGAATTTTTAATTTAGAACACAGTTTTACGTCATTTTATTATGCATCATTGGATTCATCGTCATCAACATCACCAAAAGCACGCCACTGAGCAACATTTTTAGCTCTTCGGATTCATCTCTGCTAGCCATCTTGTGGATATCGTCACTACATCTAACTTGAGCGTGATCTACACTACCTCTGCCAAATCCTACTCTCATAAACTAAATACGTCTATCCCAATAGTGATATGGACAATAATACTAATATGAAATTACTCAAATATCACTTAAATAAAAAAGAATGTTTTTATCAAAATCTCAGTTCCCTGTATTTCGACAAAAACAACCACAGTACCTACCTAATACTACCTCTAAGTTATTTTTCGCAATACCCACAAAATGTTGACTCTCTAATACCACAGTCTTTCGTGTCGGCTCAGCCAAAACACACCAATAAAGCGTTCATTAGTCAAATGAAATTCAATTTCCCGACAATAATAATGTTCTTCTTATTATTTTGCTGTCGTTTCGTTTCTCAGGACGTTGACCCCGACTGGAGACTTCATAGCTAGTGCTACTTAAGCTAAAATCCGTTATAATTTTGATGGTTCTCGAAAATTGTTAGCTACAATTTATTTTTGTAGAGATTTTGTTGAATTTTTAGTTTTGAAATAAAATTTAATTGTACTTTTGTAGGGGAGGGGCTTGGATTAAGCATTTGTAGTCTATTTTTAGTTAAGTTTAAGTTAAGACAAGAACATGTAGGTTTATTTGACATCAGTTGCTTATCAACATCTGTGACATTAATTGCGTATCTTCATACTTCTAGACTTTCTTCAAATTATACTTGAGAATAATACACCTAACTAGGAACAACTTGGTTATGCATGAAAATAGAAAGGAAGAAGTTTAAATACGAAGTCAAAATATGTTAAAGACAACTTAGTTTAAAACTTTGTAGAACGACGTGATTTTATTCCTAACAATAATTTTATGTTATTTTCATGAGCGCTTGTTTTCAAGGCCGACCTCTCGAACTACTTTAAAATATTCCCTCCTTGTAATAGTTGCTTTCAAAAGTTTCGCAAACATAATAAATATTAAAGAACCTTCCTCTCTTGTACTAAAACAAAGGAATAGACAAACAACCTTTAACAGAACCAATATTCTAACATTAGAGGTACCTTTTACTGTAAAAAAGGAAAATTCATTCCAAAAATATTCCTTCCTTAGCAAATATATCGGGAATTCTAATTTCACGCATTTCCTTCGGGGGTGGGGGTTTGATCTCACAATAAGAAAGTTGTATAAAGTAGGGGGAAAGATTCTGTAATATTTTTCCGGGTCCTCTGAATAGGATGCAAGGATTTGTCAGCTTGGTCCACCTCAATAGGCGGCTTTACGCTTGATATTATAAGAAAAATACTGTTCGTACGACCAAGGAGTTGCTACAGACAGATTTGCTCTATGGTTGTAGAACATTCTTTTTAAATCTGATTTGAAAAATAGCGCGAAGTTCTTTCTATTTTCGAAGCTTAGATAAATATTCGTTGGTCGTGGCGGTTCCAGGCCTAGATGATAGTAAATAGTGTCTTTTTGTACGTGCCACTACATGTGATAGAGGGATTAGATTTGTGAGCAGAAAAAAGGTCACGGTCGCTTCACAAGAAAATGTTATATTGTAGGCAAACAAGATTGTTTAAATAGTTTGTTCATGATTTAGAAGTTTGCTGCGGGCCATGATTTATTGTGATAGCGATCAGAAATAAAATATACATTTTTATAGAGGTTGTATTTTATTCGCAGGGCTAAAGAAGATTCAGATTCTAATGTCAGACTAATATTTTTTATTACACGATTTATTTCTTTATGTCGCATTATTTACAGTTATATAGTAGACGATACGATAAAAATGGGGTATTTTCTATACAACATAAACGAGAAATCAAGCAAAAAGATAAGTAGAAGCTCCCTTTTATTCAGACAAAGTCGCGAGCAAGCAGCAAGTGTGCGACAAATTCCCAGCGATTTTGTTATCGTTCACCAAACTTCTCGATTCGTATTCACGTACATTTTGTCGGTGGAAAGAACAAAATATTCAGCCAAGCATTTCTGTGGCACAAATCTTGTTGAATTCCTCCGATATTCCTATCTTTTGTGCGAGACGGTGTTTTTATTTCGCTGTAAAATAAATAGTATAATTTTCGCTTACATCTTTATTTCGTTTGTATGTTGTACGTTGTACTGTAATGTATTTGGAATTTCGTCTTTTGTATTTACTTGTGTTGGTTGTAAAAAGGCAAATAACCTGGTGAGATTGCTAGAGGAATCACAGCGTGTAGTACTGTAGGTACATTGTACACGATAGATGTGTACAATGTACCTACAGTGTGTTGTGACTCGGATCCTTCTTTTGTTCCACGGAAAATGTATTTTCTGCGTCTCATGATGTCTATGCTGAATTGTAAATAACAGTAGTATGAACATAGTGGTGTCTCTTTTAGGTTTTGCCATAAAGCCCATTATATTATTTAGAGCTCTGAAATAATTTACAGCTCGAGTAATTAAGGTCCATAGAGTATTGAAATACACCATATCTATTTCGGCAAATACTGCTCAGAAAGTAAACCGGTAGCTTGCGATCAGTTCCCACTTAGTTTGCAGTAAATAGACGAGTCGTACAATCATACCACACAGAGCTAAAATACAGGATGTTCAAGCATCGTTTGATTGAGCGTCCACTTACAACTTTGTATCCGACCCGGTTGCAACGTACTAAGTTTGCAATTACAGAAAACTGCACTATTTTATCTTAAGTGCAGTTTTCTTGCAAGTTTACTGGGGGAAACAATTCATTCGGTGCCCACTTAATCTCAGAGTTGAAACTGTCTGCGAATCGCCGACACTGTTTAAGAAGTTTTGATATAAATCCGCGGCACGGCGCCGCCCAAGTCCGCGGCATATCGTAATAATGTGTCGAGCGAAGTCAGCATTTATGACATTAATATTATCTGAGAAAATTTTGCGAGTAGTGACCTATTATAACTTTTGACAAATTCTACATTATACAGTATAAATGAAAAAAGAAAAAGAAGATTTTGAGATTTAATCAGGAAGCCATAAACAAAATTCTTTTAAAATCAAATCGATTACTTCGATATTCGAACGAAATTTTTTCCCGACAACACCAGTGACCAAAAAGGCTTGCTCTGACAAAAATAGACGTACTTCAATGTCGCCGGTTGCAGAGAGATTGGCACCGTTCACTCTGTCGACACTCACCATTGAAATCCTGGCATTTTTCACTTTTACACCTCTATTCATTAAAAAAATGTTTTTAGTTTTTATTTTATATGGAACTGGTTGGTTTCTGGTGTTGAATTCAAACTAGAAATTTTCATTCTAACACGTGCCTCAAAAGGAAGGCGGGGTTTAAAATGGCGTGCGATGTGTATTGTTTTTTTGGTGGTAGCTACTTATTTACTTACAATTATTATTACTTTTGTGCCACTATTTGGAACTGTAATTTAGAAATCTTTTATTCATTAACACAATCTTTTCATCACATGGTTTAGTTTTTAGGTGAGGTTAGGTTTTGTTATTTAGTTTTTACTTAAAGTACAAAGCTGCTTCACTGTACAAATTTAAAGTCAATAAACAGACATTTTTGAGGCATCAAAATTGAATTGTCCGTTAGATTGTCCATCAGAAGAGATTCTGCTCATTCCAAATTTTTGATTCGTATGCTCAAAAGAAGAGGCCGTCCTCTTCTGCGAATAGTAGGTGCTATATTACCATGGGCAATAGAAAATACTTCGTTCCACGCGTCATTTCTAGTTAGCTATGTTTGCGTAGCCATGTTGTTTTCAATTTTCATGTAAACTGAACTGGAATTGGAATCCGGTCAAATATTTACTATCAAAAATAACCTATGTTCCCATGAAAATGTAGATACGTGGCATTTTCAGTGAAATTCAACTATTTTCACTGAAATTTCGATATTGTTTTGGTTTCAATAAACACTATAGCCGTTTCAAACGCTTCAGTTAATGTTCCGTTTTTGAAAATTAATATTTTTAGCGGAACGAGTTATTTTTGGAAAATGTATTTTGCATGATTCGGTTCCATAGGTTGGTTTGTACATAATTATAAAATAGTGCTATAGTCAATACTTACAGTTCTGATGTCGCTCTCGGCACCATTTGCTAAGTACTGCGTTTGTTTTAGATTGGGCGCTAGCAGTTGCCTGTGAACAAAAGAAAATATAACAATTTAATTCTATCAATAATACTTTTTAGTCAATAAGTGTCTGAAACTCCCTCCCGTCTCACCCAGACGGGAAAAGCTACACGATGATTTTCCCCCCTAAAAAAATCCCATGTGTGGGTACGAGGTATTTTTATGACGGTAGGTGTCCACCTAACATCAAAAAATAAAATTATTAAAAACCCATTGCCTTCCTCTACTAATGACGTCACAAACACCAACAAAAACGTAGAACCCGACAACATAATACTAGCTCCGCACAGTCGGTTAGCTGATTACTTTAATTTGTAGGGAAACACTTTTTGTTATAATTTGTTGGTCGACGCAAAAGTTTTCGGTTTTTGGCGCCAGTTTACGACCGACCCTAACTGTAGGATAGAAGCCTGTTTCGATTTTGGTTAAGTATGGATCTTTATGTATGCTTGTTTTGGCAGACCAAGTGATTATGGCCCGTGCCTGTATATTGTAGAATAACGAGCTAATTTATAGCCCATTAGAGGATTTGCATATGGCACCATGTTAATAGGGTATGTTCTAAGGGGACGTGCATTTTATAAATGTACCGTTTGCTTGGCTTTTGAGATGGATATAATAGGTGTTATGTATGTCCGGTGGTCTTTCGAAATTGACTTCTTGTTGTGTTTTTTCTCGTGCTAAAGTACCTCCAAGAAAATACCTTTGAAGATTTTGTTTAAGATAAACCTGATTTAAGTAAGATGGTTGTAGGCTCGACTTCTAAAATGTGACAGTAATAACATTCAATTCTGGGAATATTTAGCATTATGTTATAGACCTATATTATGCTATTACAACTTTGAAAACCTATTCAACATAACCCAAAATTAATCAAACATTTACAACGAAATTCAAAGTCAATTTTACAAACAAATTGAAAACCGTTGACCGAGAGTCCTAACCGAATGGATTCACTTAATCGAACATTACAAATAGTAGCTCTAAAATTAAACTAAGCTATAGCTTGTCAAATAGAATTTCAAAGCGGTATTAATGAAGTCCAAAGCGTTTGAGTTTAAATGTGATTATTGTGCGCCTTTGTTTTCCCGCCCTGCGATCAGCTGTGATTGAACGGCCATGTTGGATTTAGACGTTTTGTGTAGATGGCGCTGTTTTGCTACTGTATTTGTGACGTTGTGTATTTTAGATTGTCAATAGTCAAACGTGACGCGGGTTTAGTGCTCCAGTGATAGATTATTGTGTGAAAATCTGCTATGAATACGGGATTAGTCTGGTTATAATTGAGAAGGATTAGGTAGTATAGAGGTTATAATAATACTATGAAGCTTAGAGATAAAACTAAGTTTATTCTTTCAGTGTAAAAACGACCCTATCGTTTAATTTTTGGTAGGTCCTGAATTTAAATATTTATGCCAATTTTTAGTCCCCTTGTTACACATACTGCAGTTTTATCAAGCTATATATAAATAATATATAGCTTGATAAAACTAATATAAATTAGTACACCTTTTATAGGTAAATCTTAAATTATACGGGAATTTTCCCGAATATTCTGATTGCTATTTTAAATTGAGAACAAAATGGTAACTGATTATAAGCTACTTAAGTGTAATTATACATTTTATGTATATAATTGACACAATAATCTCCTTTTTCGAACTCATTAAGTGCGATGTTCGAAGCAATATGTGTAAATTCTTTTTGAACGATCTGACAGTGACGTAATGATGTAAATTAACGAAAATTGTGGCGTTAATTAACAGGACGGGGTTAATTAAAGGTATTTATAAAGTGAAGTGGGTGTGAATGGGTTCTCAATTGTTATGCATTGTTTGTGTGAGGGTTGATGTATAAGTAGTTGCTAGATATATGGTTAAGTATTATTCGTTAGTTGAGTAGGCAGTTGAAAACACCACCAATAGTGAGTAAATGGAACTGGCATTCGGTTTACTAGACGAGCAGTGAGTGATATAACATAGCATCATGCCTTTTTATCCCCGATGGGGTGGGCAGAGGTGCACGTTATGGTACTTAATGCCACTGTACAATGTAACACCCACTTTTTACTATTTATGTTATGAGTCCCATGTAATTGTGGATATTAATAGTATAAACGCTTAGAAGCTATTTGTCTATTCCAATGGCAAACTTTACCTTTAGAAACACTTAAATTGTAATAAAGGTGAAATCAATTACCGCACTCATATTCCACTAGAACGCCAATAATTTAATTATCTCGCAGTAAATACCTTACCCGAGCCATCGAAGCCAAGTAACAAGAGCAACAAGACAGTCACGTAATTCCCAAAATTCCCACAACACGAAGTCCCCAGAACGGAGCTCAAGGGAAAATCGTTTGTCTTATAGAAAACATAATTGAAAATCGTAATTTCCGCTTAAGAGCCGGCGCCTTTAATAATAAAATCTAAACACGCGACAAAGCCATACAAACAGAATCTCATGAAGAACAAACTCATTGTATGATTTAATTTATCCGTCACAAACATAAATAAAAACTTCATACATGTAAACAGGTTGGAAACTTCATATTTATGAAACGTGCTCAGCTAAGTAGGATACGACGACACGTCACGTATTAAAAAGTTAAGGTTTCACATTAAAATATTTATGAAATTCCACGTGTTAGTGAATTTTTCATATTGGTATATTCTCGTTTTTTACTTATCTAAAATAATATGGAGTTAGTTACAAAAGTTTGACGGCACGGTTGGCTGGGAACCGGCTTCCGTGCAACGTTTCGCGCGCGGGTTCGATTCTCGCACGGAGCAACTCTTTGTGTGATCCACAATTTGTTGTTCCAGATCTGGTTGTAATGTGTACGTGAACTTATATGTTTGTCAACGCACCCATGACGCAGGAGAAAATCCTAGTATGGGGCAAAGTTTTAAAAAAAGTCTGCATGATATAAACACTTAAACATTTTCCATGTGTTATTTTAATTAAATAAACATTATAAACATTTTCAAGTATTTGTTTTATTTCAGATCTGTTTGCACAACATACATTTTAGTTCCAAAACAAGCTTCCCACCTTTCAACGACAGCCTGGAGCGGTTTAAACAGGGATGATTGTCAATAGAGAGTGCTGTGAGCCGTACGGAGCGCACCACTGCACGTGTCCCATAGCAAACATCGACACTATGTCATTGCATCCTTGTTAGCGAAGCCCCACCTCTGATGAATCCGTATTACAAGTGCTCAGAATTCGGAGATTTGTTGCAAATTTTGAATATTTAGAGTTCAAGATTCTGTGAATCGATTGAGGATCGACTCGTTTGAGTGACTGAGAGATGAGTTTACTTTAAGTAAAGATGCATGGTTTGAGATTGATACTAAAGTGTTTGTTTTATCATATTAATATTTTTAGTGGAAGTAGGTATTACAATGTTGAACTCTTTATCATATAATAATTCAAACGGTTCTCTAATAATGTAGTTAGAGAAGTAGATCAAAAGAAAAACCCAATTTTTGTATAATAATGTTTAAACATCTATATTATGTTACATCGTCTACGTACTCTTTAGAGAATATCTAGTTGTTGACGTCACATCAATGTCATATTGCGCCACAGTGTAACCGCATGCATGGCAGTACGCATGCAACCGTACAGACCGTGTGCTGTGCACTGAACCGTCGCGTGTTAGTCTGTGGCGAGGTGCTGTGTACTTGTGAACGAGCTGTTTGCCTATGAAATACTCTCGCAATTGCGAATACTAAGCGAAGCCAGTTTCATGGTATAGTATGTGGTGATTTTCTCTGAAAGGATAGAACTGAGAAGTGTTGGATGTCCATTTCTGGCTATGGTATGTAATGCACTGTTGAGCCTTAGATGTTGTGTGTGGTAAGAAGTTCTTGGTTTCAGGTATTTGATAAAAATGGGCATGGTTTTAAATCAATCTATGGAAAAAGAGTATACTATGGAGATTTTTGTTCGATCTTCTACATATACACCTTGGAATGACCTTGAAATGACACTTCTTATTTATTGTTGACGTTCAAAAGTGCCTTTCTGGTCAAATAAAATAAATGATTTTACTTTGACTTTGAATCAATGTGTAGTGACACTTCATTGTATCATTTTAACATTTTACCCTCATTGTTTTTGTCCTCATCATCCCAACCAACTTTAAAGCGTCGAAACAACAGCTATTTGCTCTTTACAAGCGTACCGCTATGACGGGCGCTTGAAAACAACACCTAATATATTATGCAACTTGTTCTCAACTCATAATCCATCACTCCATTTTCGGAGCACAATTCCTTGGTACTTTATTATATTCCTCCCTTATTACGCCATCATTTTAACATCCCATAATGTTACCCCATTAAACTGGTGCGAAGCAACTTACACACAAATCACTGCAAAAACAAGAAAGTAATAAAGCACGCATTTTACGACACATGCGAACGACGCGACCGAAGCGACGCGGTAAACAATTTTCGACAACATATTTTTCGTGTATAGCAAAATGTAGGTGCTTCAGATGATTTGGTGCAAGTTGGGGATGAATAGCGATTTGAAAGTGTTATAGTTTAGATCCATTTGCGATGCTATTTTTATCATTTTATATTTTACTATATTCTGATAACCTATGTAGGTTACACTGAGTCATAAATAAGTTTCTTTCTTTCTTTCTTACTGTCAACTTTTTGAAAACGTCAACAACTCATTGAAATACATACTAAAACGGGATAGGTTTATGAAACTAATAAGTAATTTACTTTCCAGAATTTATTATTTTTAAACAAATAATCCATTTTTCTTTTAAAATTGCATAAAAAATAACATAAACCTTTTCTACTAGTACTTTAAATAATTGAAACTGAATTGTCAATCATTTTATGCCCGCTACCTCTTATATCAGTACCAATCAGCTTGTCATACATATTTCACGTATTCCACCCTCGTCGGAGGCCGCCGGAGGGATGCATAAGGTACGGAAATCGCTAAATTGATGCCCAATGTAAATGGTTGGAGGCGATT